GGCCTATTTTTACTAATATGAACAACACCTTCAAAATCTCATGGTCGGTCCTGATAATAACATATAAGTATTGTGTGAATTTACGACCAAATATGAAAACATAATTAATATATTTTATTTAAAATCCACCATTTTAAGGATTAATCCTTATTAATCTCTCTTTCACGCTAACCCTATATTACGATCATCAGCCTCCATTTTGTCTCCATCGATCACCTCGATCTGTCCATACGATTTCGTCTTTCAATCCAATTCCATTGATGTTTTCTGATATAAAAGAAGCTTTAGCGACTCCATTTAAATCAGCAAATCTAAGTGGGGAAAAATCAAATTACACAATGTCTTTGTACACCCCCGATCGCTTTCTCTCTAATTGAAGGTTAGTGCATTCAATTAATCATCGTCCATATAATTTAATTTAAGTAATAATTATAAAAAAACACATAAATTATTATTCATCGAATTCCTGTTTAGATTAGTAAAAATAGTTGTAACGTCCCAATTTTCAACCAAAAATTTTAATTTTTTTATTTGTTAAATATATCAGAGTATAATGATATTATGTAGAAACATGTTGTGAATGCGTGTGTGTACAGTCAAACCTTGCTCTTCTCACGAAGTACCTGAAAAACATTTATAACAACTGGGTAAACGTTAGGCTTAATGAGTTCCCTCAATATAACATATACCACAATACACATACATGCATACAAATAATATGCATATCTTAGACTTACGACCTACACGTCATTTCGTCTTCAACACGGGTTGCGTGTACTTAAGCCCTACACATCATTTCGTTAACACATGTCAATGTGTACTTACGGCCTACATGTCATTTTGTTAACATGTGGGCCTATAGGCTTCCGACCTCTTTTTCGTTCCGCCATCATCCCCTAACTAATTCGCAATAAATTTTAAGCATATCAACAATCACACACACATTCGGCTCTACAGGCACATAGAAAACTATACTACGACTCTACATTATTGGTGCCTATATCCTAGCACACATGGATATATACTGGAATACATAATATAGTGAGATGAACTCACCTAGACAGTTGATCTGACAACTAACAACAATCTACTGATGATCCAACTGATGGTAACGTACCCGGCTAATGTTAACCTATAATACTACCGCTTATTAGATACTAGGGAAATCTGGCAATGTGGGTTAGACCTATCACTAATCCCAATGAATACTGATATTTCTATCAAATAAGGATCATCCAGGATGGACATTTGGGAGGCAAGACCAATTCGACATATAGCCTTTCTGAAATCCAACAACCAAACCAACGTGACCATTCTTAACACCTCTCCCGTAAGTGGATTAATCAAAATTATGACTAGAATTAATGATAAATCTTATTTATAGGTTCATAATAACGACTTAAAACTATAAATATAAGTTACACTGAAAATACTAGAGTGTAGCTTAACTTATAGTGATTCTTCCTGACCAAAGTCCACAAATCGCACTCGCATGCCTCCTACTTGATGGCTACTACTTGGTTGAATACCTCAGGTGTTGCAGGGGCCGGATACTTAAAACTAAGGGAAAATTGGGCAAAATGCAGAGAAAATCGTGAGAGAAAGTGTGGGAGGTGTGTGGAATGAATGAGGTTGGAGAGTTTTATTTATAGTAGGTGTGCACGCTGTAGCATTCATAAAATTTCAAAAAAAAAAAAACTTTTCCAAACCAACCAAAATCATAATTGTTTACATTGTAGTTTTCAATACATGTTTATCATCAGAGTCATCCCCAAAATCACAAAACATAACATGAGGAGGTGCACAATGAAGCCTTTGCCTTCCCACGATTATCTGAGGTACCTGAAACATAACCCAAAACTGTAAACCGAACGCTTAGTGAGTTTCCCCAAAACTGGTCCACCTCACAGGCCTTCAGTCTATCCGGGTCGTCCTGGTTCTGTTTGCCTTCTGCACACAGCAGGACCGCCTCAACCCAACCATCCATCACATATCCACACATAACATAACCAAACATAGCTAGCATATAGAGACAGCCATACAAGTCTAACAGATCACTATAGCATAGCACATCCTATCTAGCAGGATGCCAATCTAACATATCACTATAGCATAGCAAGCATACAATAACCAGGATAACAATCTGAAGGGCCGACCTTGGTTCCTTCGACCCGAGAGTATAGTGAGAACAACTCACCTCACACTGACGAATCACACAGAAAACCTCCGGTTGCTGGCCCACTAAAATCCCGAACTATCACAACGAATAAACATCCAATTAATAATTGGATTACCATCCCTGACTAATGACCCAAACTTAGGGTAAACAGCCACTTTACTCAATCCATAAATGGGCTAAGACCCAGGTCCAATCCTTGATCCAAAAAGCCCAAAATTATACAAGGCCCATCATTGGTTCAATTTTCCAAATTGGGCCCAAACTCCTTTTTGGGTCTTATCATAAGGTCCAACTCTTCACTTGGCCCAAAACACTCATACTCAGATAGACCAATAAGGACCGAAGCATTCAAGCCCAACAGGTGGCCCAAAACTTGAAGCCTAAAGTCTGAAATCCAACAGAAGGCGTACGCAGGGCGTACTCCTTCGGTACGATGGGCGTACACTGCCTCGTATTGACCCACAACGGGGTGGCTGACTGAGTACGTGGGGCGTACTCCTCCTTACGTGTCACACCCCGAAACCGATGACGGAAACGTTCCGGGGCGGAGGACGTCATGTGTAGCATCACAACCAATGAATAATAGCAATCATAGCAACGCAACCATTACAATGAATACTTAAGTAAAAATGTTTACATAGATTCTGAAAATTGTTTGAATTACATCATATAGTTTGTATGAATATAAACATTAAACTCTTATTGCTTCAACTCTTAAAAAAAACCCAGCAGGTACCTGTCTACTGATTTCCTGAGAATACAAGCAGTTTGAAAATATCAGCATAACGCTGGTGAGTTCATAAGCAGTAGTTCGTAATGAAAACTTGTTGATGAGCTAGCAGAAATGTTTGTATAGTTTCAAGAAAATCCGATATTTTCTTTAGTGAAAGAGTAGTGTTATCAATTTCCGTATAAAACCATGAATGTTCGTTACTGAAAACCGTAGTGATATGCGAAAATACTACCTCATGTGACTAGTTAGGGCTAATCATGAAGTATAGGTATTTTGTATGTGAAACCAATGCATAATCGGTTCTGTTTGAAAACCCTGACTTCAGCCAGTATACGTAGTGTGTGTTAGTTCTATTTAGTATAAATAGAACAGTTGAAGAGTACCCGGTTGTAAACTAAAGGTGATTTATACATAATGTGATTCGTATAACCATGCTTGATATGACTAGTGACCTTTCCAACGTTCTTCAGGCGTTGAGTTAAATGACATTTGTACATCCCAGGCGTGCCCGCCTAACTGTAGCTAGCAGTTCAGATGTGGGATTGTCAGTCCCGAATAGATATATTCACAAATCTTACGCTCTCCCTCGAGGAGACTCTGGTTATACTATGGTAGGATTTATCCCTGTACACCTAAGGGTACAGTAGTGAAGTAGCGCCTCACAGTATCGTACAATCTAGTTTACATGTAGTGTAGTAGCGTTCTACCATAGTACAAATCCGTATGTATACCGTATGTAGTGATAATTACTGTAAACTGTTTCTGTCTTAGTGCATATGTTTAGTAGTGAAAGTTTCTATACTTGATATGTTTTAGAAAAATCCCAAACTATACCGATTATAGTCTGCATGTATAGTGAATAGCATGTCCGAAAAACTATGCAATTTTTGTGAAAACGTCCCTTATGCTCAACACAGTACAAAAGGGTTAAAGTATGAGGTTTGCATAAGTTTTGAAAACATTTATGTTTAGCTTGTATCCCCCCCCCCTGAAAACATTGAAAATATGGAAAATGTAGGGGTATGAACTCACAGTTTGTCGTAAGACTCGAGTGTAAGGTCGGCGTGGATACTGAGTGTCAACTGATGTTTTGTACACAAGTGGATCCTATTAACATATGGTATCACATATATGTATCAGACAAGGACATAACATTATCTGTTATGGAGGAAACCACCTTAGGGACTAGGAATCGTTTGAAACTAAGTGTTAGAATCACACGTGATTGAAGCTAGGGAGTTTGCGGCCGTAATTAGGGGTGTACGGTCAGGGGTTTGCGGCCCAACAGGGTTTACGACCCATGAGTTTACGGTCCAATGGGGTTTACGGCCCAAGTGTTTGCGGTCCATGGGTTTACGGCCCATGGGTTTGCGGCATGTGGGTTTACGGCCCATGAGTTTGCGGTCCATGGGTTTACGGCCCATGGGTTTGCGGCATGTGGGTTTACGGCCCATGAGTTTACGGCCGTAAACACTGGGTGAAATGTAGGAGTTTTGGTGTTTCAAGGTCCTTTCTAGCCTCTTGGGAGTGTTCCGAGTCTTTTGCGTAGCAAAAGAGGTGCTAAAGGTCAAATTTAGGGTTTCACCCGGACACTAGTACGCCCAGCGTACATATGTGTACGCCCAGCGTACTAGGGCGTGCGCTGGTACGCTTAGCGTACTCACATGTATGCTCAGCGTAAACCTCTTGCCCCAAAATTACCATTTTGCCACTAGGGCTTCTTAGGGCTAACTCCAACCAAATCCAAGGACCAAAATGATATAGTTAAAAACCAAGGGAAGGATTTAAAAATACTTGAAACCCGGAATGTTACACATGTCGCGCACGCCATATGCGTGCCGCACATCTGGAAGGCAATCCTAAAATATTTTTCCTATGTTGTCTGATGTTCTTAAAATGAAAAATGTTGTCCGATGTTCTTGAAATGAAAATTAGAAAGACATCACCACATCGGCATATGCCCTTGTTCTTCCATAATGGAGATATGAATCTCCTTTGAACCTCAGTTTTTTTTGAAGAAGTTGTAATGATTCCTTTTGAAAATCATTTGAAAGGAATGAAATAAGGGAAGCCTTTTAAGAGGGATGAATGGTTTTAACAGCCACGAGAACCTCCAACGTGGCATTGGTAACCAACTACGTAACATTTAACATGATAAAATAAATATATAAAGAAGCTTACCAAGTATTGAGCTGGACCAAAACGTACAAACTTAAAAGTTTTTGTGACAATATCCCGTAACGAAGCCCAACATAGAAGCTGGTCTCTTAAACTTAAAGATCAGATCCGTTTAGTTTAGTCTGCTAAGGATTGAAATGGGCTCAATTCTCAAATAAGAAAATTCGGATGATCCGGGTCGATGTAATAAACCGCCGCCCAAAGCAGAAGCTGAGGGAAGCTAACTAGAACGAAGTCAACAAATGTTCAAAGCTTTACACTCTCGAATCACTTCTATCTTCCCCCAATCGTCTTCGCTTCTCTCAAATTTCAGGTCATTTGTTCATTGTTATCGATAAAAGGTTTGTTTGTTCTGTTATTCGTATCAGTTTCTCAACCTATTTAATTGCTTTTTGTGAAATTAGGGTTTTGTTGACCGTTCTAGGTTATGTTCTCGAGTGTTTGTCGTAATTATTCCAATTATCAGTTAGCTATGTATTTCACAATTTCCTTTTGTTGCTAATATAAGGGAAATACTAGTCATTTTCATATATGTGAGTTTCTTTGATTCAGATGAAGACGGTTTCTGGGAAAATTGTATCTTTGAAGCCTGTCAATCTCTCCAAAGCTGCGAATATCTTGTCAAAATTTGTAACCTCCGAGAATGGAGCTTCACAACCGGTGTCTGCTTACCTCCGTCGTGCTTCTGTGGCATTTAACGAGCTTGTATACTTTAAAAAGCACCACGCGCTGAAGAAAAAACCAAAGGATGAAACTTCAACCATATCTGATATAAGCCATAGGGATGTAGAAGAAGATGAGGGTAAATTGAGAAAGAAAGAAAAGAAAAAGAAGAGGAAGAATGCAGAGGTTGATGGAGGAGAAATTGGTAATTTGGAAGCGCCCGAAAGGAAGAAGAGAAGGAAAACTTGAAGGTGATGAATAGGCATATGAAAATTCGATAAAGATTTCATTATTGAGTACCTTATTTAGCTTCTAGATAATTTTGATGGTGGTGATAAACTAGTTTCTTGATTATTATTATTATTAGTTTTCATGTAAGAATCAATTTTTGATGATATTGAGTTCATGGTTGCAAATGATGAAAAAAATACAAGAGTAGGTTTGGGTTGTATATGGTTTTGTAAGCCGGATTATGTGATAATTATTGGATAAAAATATGATGCCTTCTCAGACCTACTTATTTTGTGAACTTATTTACAAGAGATTTGAAAAGATGAATAAAAACATGATGACTAATTAGATAAATATGTACTATAGGTTAAGCAGATTAATACTGAGCAACAAAATTGTTTCTATACTTTGTAAATATCAGTTCATAATATAAACTTTTATATTGTATTCGGATAATCTGACATTGTCTTGTGTTGTACTTTGAAATTTTGATTGTTTTAGAAATAAAAACTCCAAACATCTATATACATAAAACATATAAATCTTTTTTTCCTAGAACTGAAAATGATAAATGTCATAAGTATCCTTATTTAGTTATTTAACGATTGTAGAAAATAATGCACAAAGTCAGGATGGCCGAGTGGTCTAAGGCGCCAGACTCAAGTTCTGGTCTTCGTGAGAGGGCGTGGGTTCAAATCCCACTTCTGATACTTTTTTGAGTTTGTTTATTTTCTCCTACAAACTCAGGTTAATAAAATTATTAAATACTCAGTGCTAGGTTGAACTTCATTTTTCATGTCTAAGATATATTTGAGCATTCTAATGAAACTTTTACAATAAATGAAAACATCTTATTTATCCATATTCTTGCTTTGATTACTTCGTCTTCTACAATCATACTTCTAACGAATATATTTTAGACAGTGTTTAGAGCATTAGTGATCGTTGATTTTTTTTTTATGTATGTCTGTTATTTTAATAATTTTTGTTATCATAATAACACCGCCTTAACGATCCATGAAAAACCTCAACATGTTCTAATTAAGTCGTCATATTAAAAATATTTTCTCAACAAACTGATTGGCCATTTTTCTAAAAAAAAATAAGTTCTTTTTTCTTAATTTTACATTAGAAATTATTAGTTTTATTAATATCCCATATATATTTGAGTGATTCACTCGTTTATATATAAGGCAAGTGAGACTTTGTGTACCATCGGCGGCAACAACCTACAATGTGCTGCATATCATCGGCGACAATTATGACACCACGTGTACGGCGGCAAGGAGGACATGTCAGAGGTAAGTGGGGCCCAGCTCATTTATAAAAGATCCAAACCTGTGACTTAGTGGGGCCCGACCACCAATTCATTAATCGTGGGCAGTAGGCGTTTTATGGTTTTTTATTTGGAATTAATTTTGTTAATTTATATTTTGCACACCAAATTAATCATTTTTTTTCTGATAAAGTCATATGAGTTAAAATAGATGGAGTTGCAATTACATTAAAATGACATAAATTTTTTATCTTATTCATATTCTACAATATAAAATTGTAAATTATATTTAATGTATAAATTATTTATAAAACTTGAAAAATTATGAAAGAAAAGTTGATCTTTCATATCTCTAAATATTATTAAAAGAAAACCTTAAATTCTAATCTTAAGAAATCAGTACCATTCATTAAATTTTAGTCCTTAATTTTTCACCCTTAGATTGTTTTGCTGACATCATCCTCGTTATTCAAACACCGTTATATGATTATCTTTTTCTTTCCTTCTTCACCTACCCTCTCTCTCTCAGAGGGTGTTTGGCATTGCTTTTAAAACATCTTTTGGCTTTTAACTTTTTCAAAAAGTTGAAAAACATCCAAAAGATGTTTGGCTATTGAAAAAGATCTTTCAAAAATGACTTTTTGTATTGAAGTAAAAGAGAGTGTTTCAAAAGTCACAAATCCTATCTTTCTGTGACTTTTGAGACTTTTAACCTGAAAAGTTAACTTTTATGCCAAAAGCAAATACAAACATTTTTTAAAGATTTTCTTTTGGAAAAAGTTACTGAACAAAAAGTCCTTTTTCAAAAACGACTTTTAGCCTTAAAAAGTTTTCCCAAACACCCCCTCAATTGTAACCTAAAGAAACATAAAAATCATTCCTTTTTACTTCATCATGCCAGAAAACATATCCCTAATTCGTATCTACCTCGCCTCTTCAAACGCCTCCAAGAATACGGTTAGTTCGTCTTGATTTTACTCCCAAATTCAAAATTATCTTCCAATGGTGCATTTGTGTAATAGATTTCTGTTCTTCATCGTTTTGTTTTTCCTTTTTTTCTTTTGACAGATCCTTTTCAATATCAATTTCATTGTTAGAATTCCTCATCCGATTTTCCCCTTTTACAGATCTCTTCTTTCTTTGTTCTAGGAAATTTTGGATGATGTTGGCCATTTCGAGAGTGTCGAGTTATCAATACTTCTATGTAATGAATCTCTTATTATTCTTGTCTTTTGCATCCATCTGATAAATTTACAATTCTAAAAAATCTGGTGATTTTAGATCCTGATCCTTTCACTTCGGGCGTTGTTTCTGTAGACTAGAGTTTAAAATTAAATCAGTAATTCAGTATGTTGAAGTTTCAGAAACATAAATTTGTTACTTACCTAAATAATTTGAAAAGTTTCACGGTAAATCGAAACAACAAATTCATTGAAGATGTAAATATACGCATAATCCTATTTATAAGATGTGCTAACATGGAAATTTCTTAACCTGTCACAGGTGAAGTTAATTTGGAAACTGCTTCCAGGATGTATACAATATTTGGAGTTGCTGGAACAATTAGATTGCTTGCAGGTGATAATTACTATTATATTAGGGTTTGTACATATATATTAGATACAGGTAGAGAGCCATTGAACCTTTTGGATAAAATATCATTTAGCATCCATAACAATGATACTTATAGTTGGTTTTCCATACATGGACAGTTGTTCAACTTATAGTAAGCCCAAAGATTTGATGAATGTACTGAACCTTTTGTTGTCTTTGTGTAGGGACATATGTATTGGTCATAACTTCTCGCAAGGAGGTTGGAACTTACCTTGGTTATCCTATCTTCAGAGTCATGTCTAGGAAGTTCTTATGTTGTAATGAAGGTTTAAGTAATCTTAATAATCAGCAAGTAAGTTCATTTATTCTGCAAGCTGTTCCATTAAGTCTCACACCTTAATTGTTTCATAAAACCATCATTATATAGAAAAAAGATGAGGCTTACTTCCAGTTTGGAAGCAGGTATATTCTCATATATGATATTCTGTTTTAATTGCAAATTTTATTGAAACTGAACAATTGCTGGAGTATGATGGATTCAAGTCATCATTTTTACAGGTAATTACTATAACACAACATTTCAGTAGATAAATTTCAAATTCCCAAATAATGGTTGTTGACTTGTGTTAATCTTCTGAACACATGATCTTTCAGCAGCTTCTAAACATTCATTTTACTAGATATATTGAAATTATATTTCTTAATAGACACTGAGGATGTTATAACTTATATTATGATTATTATCCTATTAATGAAATTAATTTTTGATTTCAGGTCCGAGGTTCAATTCCTCTATTGTGGGAACAAATTGTTGATTTAAGTTATAAACCACGTCTTGCTGTTATTGAGCATCAAGATACAATATGGATTCTATCATAATAACACCATTTACTTTACTCCTGAATTCATGATTTCTACTTTAATGAGAATATTATATTATATATTATTTCCTTAAAGTGTGTGATGTTTTATTTACATAGGTAATTTTAACCTTGTGTTTAACTGGATGCATCCCATGGTGGTGAAATGCCACTTTCAAGATCTTATGCAAAGATATGGAGATACTATTGTTGTTGACTTAACTGACCAGGTAACACTTTGGCCCAAAGCACTAACTGATAAATGATGTTTAAATATTTTACTATTTGACCAAACCTGTTTAAATATGTATCATATGTTGTAATATTTCTCTACAATTATAGTGATCTTTTTATGTTATTGTGTTTCATGTAGCATGGAAATGAGAGCCTTTTAAACCTGGCATATGCCACAGAAATGGAAAAGCTTCCTGATGTTAGATGATTCTTTAATATTTAATTATGTCTTAGGATTTAATAAGTTATATCATTTGATTGCAATTTTAATGTGAGCTTATTATTGATTCAGATATGTCTCATTTGATTTCCATCAACGATGTGGCAACCAAAATTTTGAGAATTTGAAACTTGTGTATGATGAAACAGCCGATGACTTTGAAAAGCAGGGATATTAGCAAAACTTAACTGCACTATTTACAATTTTGTCACCTGGAATAGTTTCCTTAAAAATGGAGCTATAATGGTTTTTTTTCTTCCATAAAACCATTTATAATATTCACTATTCCATCTCAGTAGATTCTTCCTCCAAACCACACAAGGAGAGTTGGTAGCAAAGTAGAAAGGAATCATCCGATCCAACTACATTGACTGCCTTGACCACACAAACGTTACCCAGGTATTACCAAAAGACGTGAATGCCCTTGTCATTCTTCAAGCCCTAAAAGGGTAAAAATGTAAAATTGGCGTTTTTTTTATTTATTTATTGTTGCAGAGTTATCTTGCAAGGATATCTTTGGATTGTAACATCTGGATTCCCAGGTGTCTTATTTTAGTTATTTATTTTGGGTTTTATGGAGGGACTCGGCGAGTAGACGCTCAGACTCGCCGAGTAGGATCGCGAGTTCTTGACTGGATTAATGACCGGACTCGACGAGTAGATACGTGGACTCGGCGAGTCCGCGTTGTAAAGTGAAACCCTAAATCCCCGGGCCTGTGCCCTATTTAAAGGCCTTTATGGCCTCCATTTGCGGCCAATTCACCCCAGAGAAACCCTAGAGAGAGCAGTGAGAGAGTTGAGAGCAAGAAGAGGCTAATACATCACTTTTGGTGTAGTTTTGCTAGAAGGAAGAAGGAAACACCCATCTAGAGCGTGAAGGGAGCTTGGATATGGGCTAATCATCTTGAGAGTTCATCTCTGGAGGTATAATCCCTTCTATTTCGTGTTGATATGATAGATTTCATGATTTTAGGGTTTTTACCTCCATTTTATGTAAGATCTAGTGAGTATGAGGCCCCCTTTGTGTTAATAGCATCAGATCTGGACCATGAGAGGTCCATAGAGTCACTATCCCTCAACTTTATGCAAGCAAATGAAAGATTGGGGACTAGGTTGCCATTTTTAGAGTTATTTCTCCATTTATGACTTGTTGTGGGTTGCATGCACGTAAAGGTTGCACCTTTACGTGACATTTGAACATTTGAAGGGTAGATCTGATAGTTAGGGAAGCAGATCTGACCTTAGGAGGTCATTTGAGGATGAACATGGAGGCAACTCGCCGAGTCCCCAAGTGGACTCGACGAGTCGAGTCGGGGTTGCCCCGCGATTCGTGACAGGTGTAACCCGTCGAGTGGAAGGATGACTCGACGAGCCAAGAGAGGCTGAAAGGATTCAGAGGACCCGCATGGACTCGCCGAGTCGCCCTTGTGCACTCGACGAGTCGGGCCAAAGTTGACCGTTGACTTTCGTTGACTTTAGGGTTCTGGTCAAAACTGATTCAGGAGAGTTCAGGGAAGGGTAGAATGGCCTTCTACCCAATCTGTAGAGATGAGATCATGAGTGAATATTGATCGGGGATGTTATCTGAATAATAGGAGGAGGCTAAGTCGGGACGTTGAGCACGAGAGTTTATCCGACTTCATTGAGGTGAGTCTTCTCACTATACATTATCTAGAGTGGTATTTATGTGTAGACCAGAGGGTCTTGTATGCTATGTGTATATATATGAGTTATGTGCATTGTGTTGTATGTATGCTATGTGTTGAACAGACCGGGCCGGAGGGCCCAACGATATAGACCGGACCGAAGGGTCCAACGACACATACTGGACCGAAGGGTCCGACGAGCTATGACCGGACCAAAGGGTCCAACGAGCTACGGGACTGGAGGGTCCCGCTGAGACACATCGACCGGAGGGTCGTATTGTAGCCTCGAGTGGCATATGTGTTGCATGTGGTATTTTGGGGAACTCACTAAGCATTTATGCTTACAGTTGTTGTGTTATGTGTTTCAGGTACTAGCGAGGATCGCGGGAAGGCGCCGGCATGATCCGTACACACTGAGAGGATTTATGTATTTGAGGATCTTGGGATTTGTTTATTGAGATAACATGTGTTACATTGGATTACTATGATATTTTATGAATGAGAGTATGTTTTTAAAATGAAAAATTGTTTTGGAAATTTACGTCGTTACATGGATCAACAATTGCAGCGGATGTGTGCCCTAACACAATCAGAAAGCATTTGTAGTTTCACAGCTGATGAAGATCTTGAGATTTTCAGGACTTCTAAGGCCCTTTTTTTCCATTAAGTTAATGTCTGGATAAAGTGATGTATGGATAATGATAGATCCTTGTTGAATCTATCGTAAACCCCCGACATTCTAACAGATTCACAGCAACAAAACACTCAATAATACCAGAAAATTAAGATAGAATTCTCATTCATTTGAGAGGAATGGACTCTCCAAAAGAAGAACAAAGTTCTTTACAAATCAATTCTTAGCTACTTAAACAACAACCCCTGAAGGGTATATAAACTAGACATGACCAAGGAAAGATACTCCAAAAGGAATGGTCCCTCAAACAAACAAGGGACAAAGATAGTGCTCCTAACATAACAAAACAGCCAATAACAATCATAATACCAAAAAAAGACCATTCTACCCCTAAAGCTCAATAGATAACGGAATGATTCTAATAAAGCAAATCAAATAAAAGCACTCTAGGATTAGTTGGGGCTTATCAGATAAATTATGTTCAAACTTTTGGAATAGTGTGGGTGGATCAAGGTGATGAAATCAGCCTCGAGTATTCTGGGACCAATGCTCTAAAAGGGACATTGTCATGTAATAATAATAATGATAATAATATTAAACTTTCTTATGTTTCCATTCTCATTCATGATGTTTTTTTTAAGATATGGGAAACAGACTATATCCGGATTAATCAAAGATGGGATGAGTGCTCTTTCAAGATATTATTTAAATAATTTACAAGCCTGCGGATTCTAATAAATACAAAAGATTTTACAAGACTGCGGATTCTAATAATAGGAAAAGCAAAGGAAAATTGAGGAATACTAGGTCTGTGAATAGGGGTATTTCAGTCTTTTTTATAAACGGAATTCGATGTGCTTGTCAATTTTTTATTCACAGCATCAAGTCGATTTGTAATGAATAGGGGTATTTCAGTCTCTTTTATTAACAAAATACTATGTCTGTGATTTTTATTAGACCATGTACAAAAAAATTTGGGTTTGTCGACTTGGATTTCATAAAGGGGAATGATATATATTTTTTTATCAGTGACAATTCTACCTCTTGGTTTGGAGGGTATTTTTGGAAGATTTTTGTGGGTTACCTATTCCTAGGTTTTATTGGTGTTTCTGGGATTCTTTTGACAGAAACACTACTTATGCATGGGTTATCTTTTTATCATTGTTATTGGCTATTGAATCAGGGGCATTTTGGTCAAAATGGGTTTGTATGTCACCATATGTTTAAACTAATGCATCATGAAATATTTAATAAATCAAACAAATATATTTAATTGATTTTGATAATAATACGTATGTGTTGTGTTATTATCATAATCGGTTAAATATTTTTGTTTGATTTATTAAGTATCAAACCATAAGCTAATAAAAAAATTAATTTTTTTATTATTGGTGTAATCTAAGCAAATATAACGGTCACAAATAACATTGCGGTCACAGATTGCGATTTGAATTAGCGGTTCTCATGATGCATTAGTTTGGACAATTGTACGATATGCATTGATTTTAATATTTTTGTTGAGCAACATTTTACCTGCGTATGAGGAATACTTTTTTATCGTCATTATTACATCGTTGACAACTGTTATTTCAAATTGCGGTCCGTAACCACTATTTTGTTTGGGGACTATGATACAAACTTAGATTACACCATTAATAAAAAAAATTAATTTTTTATTAGCGCATGTCATGAAATTTATTAAACGATGTTTAACCGATTCCAATAATATTATATCCGTTCGGTCTGCGTATCATATTTGCATGATTTTTTTATTTAATTTTTTTTCAATTTTTTTATATACTTTATTTTAATAATATATAAATAAAATAAAAAAAAGTAAAACAAAAAAGGTAAAACCAATAAGGGAAACCAAAATCAAGGACATGGGTTTCCAAATTAAAATGTGTAAAAATCAAAATAAAAAACGGATAGAAAATCTAAATAACGCATAGAAATAAAGTCAAGGGATCAAAATCTAATTTATGAGTGTAGTTTCTAAAGGGCAAAAAAGGAAAAATACAATTTTATGAAGGGGATAGATAAAAGAACAAAGTAGAAGTATCATCTGCCCTTATGTAACAAGAATCTGTTTTTATGTCTTATATCTTAGTTAATTTAAAAGTATTTTGTTAGCATATATTTGTCAATTAAAGCAATCGAATATCATTTCAACTATTATATTCAAGGTAAGTCAACATATGAAAACAAACCGTTGGTCAACTATTAAATACCTGGAATTTAATAAAGATAGGATTAATGCATAAAAATCGTCCTCCATTCTTGCATTTTATTTGTTTCCTTATTTTATGCATCTTATAAAATCACACGGTTTACCAATCTATCCTTATTAACCCTCCATAATATCACGTATCATACACAAAAAAAAAAAAAAAAAAAAAATCTTCAACCTATGTGTCGACGTCCTGCTGTTGCTACATCATCCATCATCCATAGCATGTTTCATTATCCTCTCCACCGTATTATTTTTGTTTTTATGGTATGAATCAACTATATGAAATCATGTATGAAATCGTGTTTTCAATATGTTTTTTGAACTTCTTTTTCTTTTTGCTTTGTTTTCTTTTGTTTTTTTTCTTCATTATTGTTATCACAGTTGAATTGATTCATTAGGTTAAATTGTGATTTTATTTTCAGAAAATCATATTATGAACGTAAATCTGAATGTTAACTATTAACATTATAAAAGA